CTTTATATATTCTGAATACAAGTTCTTTCTCAGATATACGTATTGCAAATACTTTTTCCCAGTTTGTGGCTTACCTTTTCATTTTCTTTTTCTTTCTTTCTTTCTTTTTTTTTTTTTTTTGTGAGGAAGATTTGCCCTGAGCTAACATCTTTTGCCGGTTTTCCTCTTTTTTTACTTGAGGAAGATTAGCCCTGAGCTAACATCTGTGCCAGTCTTCCTCTATTTTGTCTGTGGGTCGCTGCCTCAGCATGGCTGACGAGTGGTGTAGGTCTGCGCCTGGGATCTAAACCCGGATCGCTAAAGCAGAGCATGCCGAACTTAACCACTATGCCATGAGGCCAGCCCCTTTTAAGCAGACATTTAGAATTTTGAAATCCAATTTATCAATTTTTTTCTTTCATCTTTTGTCCACCCAATGTTGTCATAGTTTTCCGTTATGCTTTCTTGGTGTCCTTATCTGTAAAATGGGGGCAATATGAGAGTTAAATGAGGTAATGTACATAGAGCACTTAGAGAATGCATAGCACCTGGTAAGAACTATATAATGTTAGCTACCTTTTTTGTTACTACAACTCCTTCACTCAGAAGTTATCATTTGAGGCTTTTGGATACTGTCTGTACATCCCTGTCTCATCTCTGCCCCTCTCAAAAAATATCTTTGGCATTTTCTTTAGGGGTCATTCATTTAAAAAAAAAGAAAAAGACCAAAGCCAAGATTTGCTGTATGTGTAGGGGATGATTTGTATGAGATACTGCAGTTTTATAATCCACTAATTTACCAGTTGCTTGGTTTCCTTTCATAGCTCATGTTTTAAGGAGATCTACAGGAATTTTTGCCATTTCTCTCTCCCAAAAGGTCTAAAGCCCTCCATGAGTGTCATCATTTTCTTCCTCTGTTAAGGCTGAAGATAAGAATATTCTCACTCTCCTATGGCCACCTCTGACCTTGGCTTTCACTATGCTTTAAACATACCTCCTATGTCTTCCAGTGGATTCTGGGAAATGACATTCCAGAGTATTGTTGTTGTCAAATTTTACTAAAGAGAACTTAGAGACTGGATTCTAATTGTGGTATATTAACTACAGACATGCGCCACATAATGATCTTTCAGTCAATGATGGATTGAATATATGATGGTGGTCCCATAAGATTAGTACCATTTAGCCTAGGTGTGTAGCAGGCTATACCATCTAAGTTTATGTTAAGTACACAGTACGATATTTGCACAATGATGAAATCACATAGTGATGCATTTCTCAGAACATATCCTCATTGTTAAGCAACGCATGACTGTACATTAAAAATGTCATGGACTTAATTAGCATGAAAGCAGTAATAGTTAATACCGAAATGGATTTTCAAACTACTGTAAACTTGGTCAAGGCAAGATACTCTTCTTAAAATACACTGCAGTCTGATGAATATCCACTATAGTGGTTTGAGTCAGTCCCAGAAATAGAAATATTGTCTTTGTTCTCTGTTACTTTGGCCAAATATTTAATAAGTCCCTATCATTATCTTCTTAGCAAAAAAACAGAAAAATTAGGAATGGGATAATTAGCAGGTAGCAAATGATATGTTTTTCTAATAAGTGTTCCGTATGATTTCTATTCAATAATACAGGTTTTTATCAGTCTCTTTTCTAAAAGTATCCCCTCTATTTGTGCTCTTCTGAGCCCTACATCAGGTGCCAGGCATCCCCGAAGTCTAACATAGTACTTGGCAATGAATAGGCATTTGTCTATGAATAGGCAATAGGTAAGTTTGTTGAACCAAAGTTTTAATTTTACCCTTTATTTCTTGAGTTTTTATTGTTTCCCTTTCCAATGAATTCTGTTTAAGCTCAAGAAATCACTATTCTTTAAAAAAAAAAAAAAAAAAAGAAAGCAAACAAAAACTTATTCCAGCTATTCTTCTCCTTGCAGTTCCTGTCTTTATACTTTTTACACTGTTTCAAGAGTCAGTTATACTTACCTTCTCATTTCCCGTGTATTTCTGAGCCTTTTATAATTGAGCTCTTACTAAAACTGTTTTCAAATATGTTTAATAATCTCTTTTCAGGTCTCATATATTAGACTATTTTCATTTTTCTCTAATCCCTCCTTATAGTTCCTTCTTTGCTCCCTCTATGACATAGTCCTGATCCTTTCCCTCCTATCTAACCCTTCCATTTTTATTGTTTTGTTTTTGTTTTTAGCTTTCTCTTCTCTTTTTCCTACGTATGTGAATTCCCCAAGATTCTATTTTTGTCTCACTTCTCCTTGCCAAAGAAGAAAGCTTAGAGAGGGAGAGAATTAAAATATTTTAGGGCTTCGTTTATTTGCCTTTAAACAGATGTTGCTTTACTTAACCTAGCTCTGATTTTTAAAATTACATTTTGTTTCCATTTGGATATTACCTGAACTTCTCATAGTAAAATTAATTATTGAATATATTTTTGTCCCTGCAAGAAGGCAAACTATGTTATGTCCATCGATACATCTCCATTGCGTACCACAGAGCTTGGTACATAGTGGGCAAGTAATATATATTTGTTAAGTGAACAAGTGATATCCTACTGTCACCTCAGAGTTAACATGTTCAAAATTGAACTCATCTGAAATTTTCCTTTGCTTCTATATCTACCCATTGTTCAGTGATCAGATCAAAATGCCATCTCTTTTCTGAAACTTTCCTTAATCCTCACAGACAAAAATTTCTCTCCCTATTCTATGTGCCTTTAGCAAATTATACTTTTATTGTACCTTCATTCTGGATTACATTTTACTTATTTATGTACAAAGTTTATTATGTACATAAGGTTGAGGTCAGGGATTATCTTCCTTCGCCAAAACAAATACAGTATTTAAAATGATCTAAGATCTTGGAAGAGGAAAAAGCTTGAAAGTGGAGATGTGTCACTGTTCCTTCTGCATAGTGTTGCCCACTCCCCCGTCTTGCTCCTTTTCACTTATCCTTCAGTCTTAGTTGAGACATTATTTCATCCAGTTAGCTTTCTCTGAGCCTTCCTTACATCTTGACTATGTGGCTTTTCTTTGTACTCCTCTAGCATTATTTGCTTAACAAATAATTATTGAGTGCCTTTTATGTGCTGGCACTGTGCTAGGCTACCGGGATAAAGTGGTGAACAAAATTGATATCGTCTCTTCCATCATGGAGCCTGCAGTCTAGTGAGAAAGGCAGACATAAACCAAATAATCACCCAATAAGTAATTATCAGTTACCATGAAGAAAGAGTATGGGGTTCTATGTGAGAGCAAACCTACTTGGATGGGGGGTTGATCAGAGAACAGTATTTTGAAAAAGTATATCTAACAGAAACCTCAATTATGATTATTAAGATTTAGCCATACAAAGAATGGGGAAACAGCATTCTAAACAGATATAGTATCTTCAAAGGCCCTAAGAAATAGAAGAACTTGATGCCTTTGATGAACAAAAAGGCAGGCCCATGTAGTATTAGGTCATTATAGAGATGAGGAAACTGAGGCTCAAGGAGGTTTAGTGAGTATAGAATATATTAAGGTCATCAAATTAATAAATGGAAGAGTCTAGGTTCAAACTTTGGACTTTATAAATCTTTAGTATTCTTTCCATTATACTTTGGCATTCCCTAGTGAAAATTTGAACAAAATCTTTCCAAACTCTGGTATTTTGTTTATTTTCCAACATCATAGAACATTCTCTTACCATTTTCTATTTTTTAGCAAAGGAGATATTTGTATGTGGAACCATTCCTGTCAACAGAAAAGGGATAATTGATCTGGCACTAGGCAGAGATGCTTCTATTGAATTTGTGGCTTTGAAAACTGATTTTAGCGTTTGCTTGACTCAAAGGATTTATGAACCTCCAGAGCTGTCAGGGTTCTATGGTATCCACTGTCTATATTAATCTGTGGATTTCTTTGTTTTTTTGCCAGTGGAACATTACAACTTTCAAAATTCATAGCAAGCATCTTACACTCTGCTTTGTTTCCATTCAACGGTATAACATTGTAAACTTGACCCACCTCTGGCAAATATTTAAGTTAATGTTTCACAAAATACACAAACTCCTTCTGGCAATTGATTTCCAGGCAGCTGATAAAACATCAAAGTGTAAGTTTTTTTTTGTTTTTTTTTTCCCTTTTTCATTTTGATTTGTTCATGGATGGGGAAGGGAAGGTGAGAAGTTGTTATGATGCAGAGGCAAAGTTGGAAAGGTCGTTTTTTTCCTCCAGAGAATCTTCATTATTACCCTGCAGTGAATTGCCCACAATCCAGGATGTAACAGCAGGCTTGCTTAGTAGCCTTCAAAAATGTGCATATCATGTCACATTTTGCTATGTTCCAAGCACTTGGTGTCTTGTTAGCATAGAGTCCAATTTCAGAAATGTTTTATATAAGAAAACTTCCCCAGTGATGCTCCTGCCTCCTTTTGTAACCTAATGTAATCATAGTGTTGTGTTTATCAAAGAACTTTTGCACCTACATTTTTTCCTTCTCAATTCTTTTCATTAAGAATAACGATTATAACATGAAAGAGGGAATTTAATTCCTGAGCTAATTTTAAAATTCTTATTGGAGTTTTTCATTTGTGATTTTATACTTTGCTCCTCTCAATTTGAGGAAGGAAATAATGTTAAAAAGATTACTTTAAGGTACTGATTTTACTTGTTCTGACATCCTTAAACATTGGTTTTGTGGGTGTTTTGCTTGAATGAAGACTGGAATTAAGCTTTTTATGACTCGAGATTTGGGAATATTATATGCCAAATGCGTGTTTTTTAAATTTTCTAAAATATGGTTTTATTATAGAGAAGTAGAGAAATATTTAATAGAGAATATTTTGTATCATTAAGGAAACATTTAGCATTTTCTTTAAGTTTTCCCTTTACAATGTTCTGTAATACTGTAAATAAGTTATACTTATTTCCCTTTACAGTGTTCGCTACCACCCCCCACCCTCCCAGCATTTTTCTGTTTCTTTAAATGGTCTTCTCTGTTTTTTTGTTTGCAGGCAGCTATCAATGGTGTAATACCCCAGGAAAATGGCATTCTACAAAGGTATGTTATAAGGTGCTTAATGGTAAGATGGCAGTTTAGCAAAGCAAAAATGGGACAATTGTTAATTTTTTTGTTTTACTTTTTGATAGAGCGATTGATCTTTGGTGTATAAGTTCATTAATATAGTTACTGTTCTTTCAGGCATTTTTATTAGTTATATTAATTTCCTAAAGTCTCCAACTTTTAACTGTATAATATTATTTCAGATTGGGTGTTGCAATTTTTAAAGGTGGTTTTATTTTAAGAAAGCTTTTCAAGGTCATCTTCTCATTCATAAGATGAAAGGAAATGAACCCATTAAACTGTTAGTAGTGGGAAAATGAGACATGGCTCAGTAGCCTCAGAGCATGATTATCTAACTATATAGACTTTATCTCCAACCTTACTACATTCTTTTTTGTTTCCCTTTTGGTTTCTAAATTAAGTATATGATAACTTGCAAATCTGAATAAGTCCTTAATAATGAAACTTCCCAGGGCACCAAACTGTTTTACCTGAAGAATGCAGTGTTAACATGTGGAATAGTCTTCATGGTTTTGTGTCTTTGCCAGAAGGTAAGATTGGAAGATGATGCCAAGAGACCCATAATCGTTACAAAATAATTCCTTAAATTCATCACTTTTCTCTCCCTAAAATTGCAGACTCTGGTTTTGCATTAAAAGAGCACACTATAAAGTCATAGGAGGTAAAACTGTTCTTCCTTCCACGTGTAGTTTAATTACTTGATTTTTTTCCCCCCTCCCCTTTCAATTCAAATTTTGGCTTGAATTTTGGTGGCTGGGATTTCTAAGTCACTGAAGCATGATCTGCTAAGTGCAGATGAGGCAAACAGAAACAGCAGACTAAAAATGAAGTTGTTTTGGAGAGGAAGAAAAATTGCCCTTGCAAAAACATCAAAAAATTCACCAGAAACTGCAAAATATGTGCTGTACTTTATAGGAAACTGTGTATATTTAGAAAGGAAGCAAAATTCTGTTTGGTACCTGTACCGCCCTTAGTGATTAATAGTTTTTAGGTGAAAGCAATGATAAACAGACCTATTCCCCACCCATTTTTCTAAACTGTCAAAAAGAGTTTCATCCAGAGTAAATGTGGCTGATGTCCAGAGTCTGTAACGAATTTTCTTTTTGTTTGTTCATTGTTTTTCATTCAGAAGCATTCAATTCTATTGAAACTCTTGTCTAGAAAGCAAACCAGATGATTACAGGAACTTCCTTCATGATCATTTTTTTCTTGGTTTAGAAAGTTTTAGACTGCTAAATACGGCTCTAGTTTTATTCTTGAGTAAATGTTATTCCACTTTTTGTGCCAGAATTTTTGCTTGCTAAACCCTTGTGGATTCAGCTGCTGGGTTCTGAGTACATATTGGATATATCTTACAATTAATAGTATTTGTTCTGAGTGAATTGTAGAAATTCCCTCATCCCTGGAAACATCCTCTCTTTCCTGTCACAGATGATACTTTTTGCTTAATATATTTTAAAACTAGAAATTCAGTACTGAATTGATTTCTAATAAGGTTACTTTAATATTTGGGGTTTAACTTTCATCAGAATCGGTTTTTGTTTATTTGCTTGTTAAGTTAAAGGAAGGAATCATATATCCATAGATGAAAGTCATTTGTATCTAGTAACAGTCTTCAACTGTTTTCCTTCCTAACTTTGGTCTTTAGCTTTGAAATCACTGTGGATTTGACATAACTGAAAATTCCTTGTGTATGTCTACTGACCAGAGGAAAATGAAAGAGGGCTCTTTGTACTTTCTCATAGGTTTAACACTGAAAGTGGAAGACAATGCTAGGAATGGTATATGTAGGCAGTTTAAAAGGATCTTTGTTTTGTGTGTTTGATTTCTGTAGTAAAGTTGAATGTAGTCTGTGAATACATCTGACTCCTAATTTGTCAGTTTATACGTTAACAGAGAAAAGAGCTGCCAAAAAAGAGTTTTTAAAAAATAGGAATTATTTTTGGAGGGAGAAAAGCTCAATCCCTGTGCTTTTTAGCCCTTCATGAAATCAGATTTTTGCATGAATTCAAAATAAGAATATGGTTTTTAATGTACCCATGAAGTTCAAGACAAAGAAACTAACATTTTTTTAATGCTTAAGGCACTGTGCTAGGTAATTGACATATTTTTCCTCATTTAATACTCATTACAACCCTTAAGAGATAGATGTTCGTATTTCATAGATGAGGAAACTCCATGTTAGAGAGTTTACATAGACTCGCCCAAGGTCACAAGTGTAGTAGGTGGTGAAGTATGGATTGTCTCATTTTGAAAGTCATGTTCTTTCTTTTATACCACTCTGTTCTCTTCAAGGTCAGTAAGCCAGGCATGCCACAACTTTTGTTTTAAGATTTTTTGCCTTTGGATAAAAGAATTGAAATTTAATACCTGTGTATAACATCCTTCTCCCACAGTTTTGTTTTTGCAGTTATTATTTTAGTTGTAAGTGAGTAAAGGCAGATACTGTTATCCCTCATTTTACAGGTAGAGGGAATAAGGCATGAAGTGACTTGGCCCTGATGATACAGCATGATGTTGATGGAGTCAGGAATATAAGCAAGTCTTCTTCCTCATCCTCTAAGCCTTATTTCACTAGACAATATATTGCTAATAAAACATATTTATAAAATGTGTAACTTATGAAGTCATAAATGTAAACCAGTCATAAACAAACATTGAATGTGTGCAAGTATATTTACTACATCTTAGTATAATATTTTATTTATTCAGTGTATTGTCCAGAGCCTTTTTAAAAATTATTTTTTGAGATAGTTATTGTTAGAAAAAAGTACAAATGAATTACTTGTTAGAAAAAAGTACGAATGAATTCCTTGTATCAGTAGAGAGCAGATGCTATGTTTTCTAAAAATTTTTTGAATTTATAGTGTAATTTTACTCATTGACTAAGGGGTGGTATTTATCAGCTCATTTATTTTATGACCCAGACAGATGTACTGTATGTTTCTTTGTCCGTTGTTTAATTCATTGAGGAAACCTAGAGAAGACAAAGCTTGTTTTCAAACCTTGGGCATTATGCTTTCAGAATATATAAATGCTGAAGTTTTCTGATTTAGAAAATATCTATTTTGGCCAGTTTTTATTTATTGTCTTCTGCAATGCCCATTTTAAAAATATGCTTTTTTCTAAAGACAAGTTTATCTTTAAAACACATGTGGTTTTTTTTTACCTAAAGATTTTACCATGGCATGGACTTTTAGAAATTGAAATAAACAAGTGCACAGTTTCTGTGTACTTTGCTTTGTTCACTGCCCTCCAAGGACCTGTGTGGTTTGTAGAAGAAAGTTGAGTAAGGCTAAAGACACTCCTTTATAGATCTAAAGTAGATTTCTCCATAGAGTTTCCCTTACCAATCAGTGTCTTTTTTTAAAATTTTTGAATTATTAACTAGAAAAAATAGTGAGAAGGTCAAATTATATATGATGGCAGTCTTCATAGATAAAAAATCTTAAAAATACTTTTTTTTTGTCAACAATTTTGGATGACTTGGCACTCTGGATATCATCGAACATTAGTCAAAACTGATAGGATCATTCATCAACTGGTAGTCTCTTTCTCTTCTTCTCATTTTTTTTGGATTGCTGGTGAAAAACTCTAATGTAATTTCATTATTTTTTATTCATCTTGAAATAGAGTAATCATAGCCAATAAGAGAATTCTCAAGTGATCAATTTAAAAAAAAATTTTCTTTGTGGCTGACAAACATAGGAAATAGCTTGCTCTGATTAGAAGTGTTAAACTACCTCCTAGTGTTAAAGTTTGGAAAAGAAAACAAAAAGCACGCTAGGAATTTTAAAGAGAGGGAATTGCATATAGGGAATCAGTTACGTAGATGTGGAGCAGGTTGAAAGAGTAAAATCCAGATATAATGACTACAGGAAACAGCTGGACCACCAGGTCCAGATGGAAGGGCAGGAGGGATCCTAGGGTGAGAGCAGACGTATAGCTGCAGCATCCTCTGAGAAGGATGGGCAGAGCCTGGACTGTGTGGACCAGGTCCAAGGCACCCCATTTCCGGAGGCCTGATCCAGGACCGGCCTGTCCGGGAGAGCCCGCTGCTGACCACTGAAGGGCACAAAGTCACTCCTTATACTAGAGGGAAAAAGGAAAGAGGTTGGGAGAGGTTTAGGTTAACAGAACTTTGAAGGTCCGAGGACTGCCCTAGGAACTTGGCCCCAGACATGTGAGAAAGAAGTTCTGCTCAGCTGATACTGGTACTTCTGACAGAATGCAGAGGTTTGTTTTGAGGTATTGAAAAAAGCTAGACGCTAACACTAATGGATGATGCTGAAACAAAGTGAGTGCTATTGTTACAGTGATGTCACTGCTAGGGTAATGTTGATAGGATCAATGTGCCAACTGGAAGAAGAAAATTTTGTGTGTGTCTGTGCATGCACGTGTGTGCTGCTGCAGTCCTTGTTTCTGTTACTGGTCATAAGGCCATGGTTGATATTTACCAGTTTCTTCTACTATTTATTCTATATTCCCTCTGCCAGCACCTCAGATAGTTAAGATTCTTTACCTGGTGGGACATCTCAAACATTCATTCTTGAAGAATCAGAATCCTCAGTGGACCTGCCTTTTTTTTATTGGTCGTAGTTTTCCATTAACTCTTATTATTAGACATGCCCCAGAAAATAGTCCATTGTGTAGCAACAACCCAATTTTTTTCGTGGTAATCAGGACCAGTCATTCCAGTTAGTACCCCCTCCTTTGCTAGTTGATTCAGTAGCATGAGGAGTACAAAATGGCCAAGTGGCATTCTCAAGTTCTAATTCAATGGAAGCATTGTGGAAACATTACGTCTTTGGGAACTATGATCTCTGAACCATCAGATCCCAAAGTTACAGGAAGCAAAAATTCGGTAAATTATTAGGCATAATAAGAAGAACCACTACCACAACTTTCATTCTCATACTCATATTTTTTCACAATATGAGAAATGTCACTGTGTTTTGGTCACTGATATAAAGCAT